TAATGGATATCAAGGATGTGAGGAGAGAGATTGAAAAGTGAGTGGATGTCGCTCTCCAACGTCTATCTTACTGACCGTTCCCCTTGTAGCTGTACTTCTTGGGAACTCCCTGGTGAAGTTCCGTTGGAAACGACGCCCAAACTCATTAGTCGTTTTACAAAGGAGTGGTCGAATCCTTCCGTGGAGTGTTTCAATGATGTGTACAAGGCATCGTCAGTGTACATCCAGAGGTTGGTTGCGCAACGTTTTGGACAGTTCAGGCTTCTAGAGATGCACATTGGGTTCGTTTCTTCCGTTCGTTTTCTCTTCCTGCCTAGTCTGAAGCCTTACGTCTACCCAGTGCACTTGTGCGCTCACAGATGGAGATCTACAAGAGCGAGGCACTCGTCACACTCGAGAAGGCTGTCAAACTGGAGACCTCGCCCGTCTTTACTCAAGTACCGCATTACTTGATGGAGCGCTCCAAGTGGCTCGAGCGGTTTCGTAGGGTGTATAGGACTTCTAGTACCTACGCCATACACCGACCAGGCCCTATAGGTGAATCCACCTCGAGACCCTCTCTAGTTGAAGCGGACTCTTCTAGTATCTACACCATACACCGACCAGGCCCTATAGGTGACTCTGCCTCGAGACCCTCTCTAGTTGGAACGGACTCTTCTAGTACCTACGCCATACTTCTATACAGTTCGCGAGACGACAGAGGACGAAGAGGCGCTGCTCGTGATGGCCAAGGTCCGGGCATACTTTGAGATGGCTTATAAGGTCCGTCCTTTGTTTACCCATTATTTCCTTCGCTGATTCTAATTGGTATCTAGCGATTCATCGATAATGTTCCGCTTACTATTGAGCATGAATTGCACCAGACTCTTCCGCATCGCTTGTCGGAGAGTCTTATCAAGGATATGGGAGGACCGGATGCCCGTGAGAGGGCTAGGGAGCTGTTTAGAGAGGATCCGGTGATCGCGTCCAGGAGGGAAATTCTGAAAGACAGAATTGCGAGGTTGGAGGAGATCAGGAGGAGGTTGTATTCTTTTAGATGAATTCATAGATGTATTATCTTCTATATCTATGCCGTATCCTTCTATGTATATGAATAACAACATTGAACATATCACGTCGTCCAGCTTGGTATTTCCGGAGACATCGGCCCGGTGATATCACGTCAGTGCTTATTTGTGATCGATTCGGCGCCACGTTGTAACTTCAAATCTCCCCTTCCTCAACCATCCGCCTTCAGGTTCACATATCGTTCTCTATCTAAGAGACTACCTAAGTACCGATTATTTTGAACGTCAGAGCGACTAGACGCTGTGGATTCCTAGCGTTACGGGCCGGTGGTATTGAAGGGACCTTCGTGTGTCGACTTACTGATTCATCGTTCTCATTACTCACTTTACGTTTTGAGTTAGCAACAAGAAACCTCGAATAATTCCTTCAGACAATACTCACAATTTTATCTCGGCTCAGTGCTTAGCAACAGTCGTTGTGGTTGATTTTCTGCAGTACATAGCACATGCAGAAGCATCGATCAGGCTGTCTATTCATGGTGCATATCCAACTTCCTTTTCTCCCCAATTGTTCCGAACAAAATATTAACGAGACCAACATAAATTGCTGTGCTTCACGGTATTTTCGTTTTAATTTTCATGAGACTTTCCTCCTCGCGGTTTGTAATGATAGTACCGCTTACTGTATTGTTTTCACAGGCGAACTCATCTACCACGTCCACAATGTCTTTGCCTCATTACTGAACGGCAGGTGCTTTACGAAGCTCCGTTGCGGATAACTTTGGGAAGGCAAAATAAGCGCCATGCATCGTGGTGGTCACACGGGATATAAGGACGTTTAGCACGCCTCAGCTCTTTCCCTCCCAACCACCACCAGATGTCGTTCCTTCAGAGACGTACCACTCGTAGGGGCAACACCAGTCTTCCGAATGGCACCTCAAACAATATTCCTCCCATTCCCCAAACAGACTCCCCGCCATCTGAGCCAGAGCCAGAGAGCACTACCGTCCCCATCAACCAGACGGAATACGCTCGGAGATGTCGGCAGGTAATGGAGCTGTATCGCGCTCTCCAGGCCCTTGGGTTCGTGGACGCCACCTCTTTCCGACATGTACTTACATACCCATCCGTCACAGTGCCGATAGACTGTTTCCAACGCTACCAAAGATCATAGTTATCGGCGGTCAATCGAGTACGTCGTTTCTTGAATATCGGTACACAAGTCATATTGATCCATGTCTGTGAACAGCTGGAAAAAGTTCGTTGGTAGAAGCCGTATCTGGCGTACGCTTACGTTTTTCACTTGCCTGTTACATTCTCTCATTATCATCTAGATCAATGTACCTCGGGATAGCGGTACTTGCACCAGGTAGATGCACCTCAAGCCTTCCCCGCGCGATCTCACTCCTTTTCAAGGTGTCCTATGGAATGCACGATGCTCAGTTCATCTTCCACGTGGTCATGCACGATCTACCTCAACATCAAGTATGGGACAGACGGTAGTGAACTCGCCATCCCGGACAAGTTTCGGTTTGGGCCTGTTATCACAGACAAGGATGCAGTCGAGCTATGGATCCGCCGAGCTCAAGCGGCGATCCTCGGCCGTCATCGTACCAAGGAGGATTTCTCCAACATGACCGTGGAGGAGCTCCGCAATCTTGCTACGACTGACTCACAGACGTTACCTTTCTCCAAGAATATCGTACAAGTCGAGCTGAGAGATCCGCAGTTGACGGATCTGTCTTTTGTTGATCTACCTGGTAAGGCGCCCTTATCTTTGCCTTCGTATACTGACTGTTACTTTGGCAGGGATTATCCACAATGCGGACGAAGAAACTATCAAGCTCATCAATGACTTGGTTATATCCTATATCGAAGAATCAGAGAATACGATTGTCCTTATTACTATTCCGATGAGTGGTGCGTTTTCTTCCTCTGACACCATGTATACCCTCCTCATGTCTCTACAAGACGACATTGAAATGCAAGCAGCCGTCAAACTCGCCAAGTCTCGGGATCCCGATGGTGATCGCACAATTGGTCTGAATCTTCCTTTCTGCTACTTTTATGACGGGCCCTAATCGTTCCGTACAGGAGTGTTGACCAAGCCGGACATGCTGACAGTAGGCGCCTCTGGTGCGCGTCAAAAGTGGAGAGAGATCATTCTCGGGCAAGACGAGAAGCACAAACTCAAACATGGCTACTATTGCGTTCGTCTCCCGGATGACGATGAGCGCAAGCGCAAGATTTCGCGAGACGAATCCCAGGCATTGGCCAAGGTCTATTTCGAGAAGAATTCCCCCTGGAAAGAGTTCCTCGACCGCAGTCGTTTTGGTATACCGGCACTCGTACATGATATCAGCCGGCTTTTAGTCAGGCTTATCGAGAACTAGTACGTGTTCTATTCTTCGTGTACTCAGGTTATTCTCATTTCTGTTAAAGTATCCCAACCTTGAAGCAAAGCGTTGACGATATCCTCGCAAGCGATAGAGCGGAGTTGAGCGCCCTTCCTCCACTGCCTACCGGCGAGGCGTGGTCCCAAATTACCATTCTCATCCATCAGTTCTGCATTGACGTCAAAGCCGCCATCGAGGGGAAGGAAGAACACAAGGGTCTCGTACAGCGCAACCGCGCTAGGTATGCGCAGTTCAAGCGTGATATCCTCGGGACGTGCCCCAATTTTCGACCGTTCGAAGATAAGACCCAGCATCGGGATCCCTGCATCCGAGATGAAGAGTTCGAAGGGAAGGACAACCCCTACGTTCATATGGCTGCGTCTGAGTACGTCATGGATATCAAGGACGTGAGAAAGGAAATCGAGAAGTGAGTGTGCTTATTGCTCCGAGTTCTATCTTACTGAGCTTGCCGTGTAGCTGTACTTCGTGGGAGCTCCCTGGTGAAGTCCCGCTGGAAACAACTCGTAGACTCATTGAGCGTTTCACAAAGGAGTGGTCCAATCCTTCAATGGAGTGCTTCGAGGCTGTGTATGACGCCTCGTCGGCGTACATTCAGACGTTAGTCACGCAGCGCTTCGGACAGTTCAAGCCTCTAGAGACACATGTTAGGTTCGTTGTCTGTGTCTTCCTCTACAATTTGAAGTCTTATGTCTGCCCAGTGCGCTTGTGCGCACACAGATGGAGAAGTGCAAGAGCGAGGCCCTTGTCGTACTTGGCAAGGCTGTCAAATTGGAGACGTCTCCCGTGTTTACTCAAGTACCGCATCACTCAATGGAGCGCTCCAAGTGGTTCAGGCGGTTTCATAGGGTTTATACGTACCCTAGTGGCTATGTAATAGACAGACCAAGCCCTGTCTACCATAGCGGACGTCGCGGCGGCCCGGCTCCAGCCCGAACGCCATCCCCGCCTCCTCCAGCTCACGAGACGACAGAAGATGAAGACGCGCTGCTCGTGATGGCCAAGGTCCGAGCGTACTTTGAGTTGGCATACAAGGTCCGTTGTGCTTTTCTCCACCTTCTCTTTCCTTTGCTGACTCTCAGTGGTATATAGCGGTTCATTGACAATGTTCCGCTCACCATCGAGCATGAGCTGCATCAGACCCTGCCACCTCGCTTATCGGAGAGTCTCATCAAGGACATGGGAACGTCAGACGCCAGTCAGAGGGCTAGGGAAATGCTTCGAGAGGATCCGGCGATCGCGTCCAGGAGGGAGATTTTGAAAGACAGAATTGCGAGGTTGGAGGAGATAAAGAAGAAGCTCTATGCATTTAGATGATCTTATGTGTGCACTTGAAGTGCAATTCTGTCTGCTTCGAATACTTGAATTAAATGTCCTCCAATTTATAGGGCATCGGTCTAACATCGGTCCCGGCCTGGATGGATGACCTCAGCAGTTGATTAGTAATTCTGATTAATCACAAGTCCCACAAAAGTCCCCCACCACCTCCCTGTCTTCCGAGCTTGAAAACATTCATTCTGGACGCTCCAGTTCGAAAACATCTTGGATAGAAAAAAAGACTCTTTCAAACCAAAACATATGCCTCCATCCCGGGTTGAACGAGAGACCTTCGCATGACCAGGAACTTCAATCGAAGCAGTACAAGTGCGACGCGCTACCACTACGCCATAAAGGCTTACCAATTCCGTGCAATAGCCTTTCTAAGACGTCTGCGAGACGCAGCAGATTCTGACACTAAACATCTCCCGTCCATGATCTCTTTCTCCCGGCGAACAAATCATTGTCCCAGGTATCAGAATTCAGACAGACTGGATTGGTTAGGCCTACGTCAGTGAGTCCATCAGCCTTTATTAGAATATATATCGAGGAAAACCTTACTCGTGTCCTCGCAGCCAATACGAAAGCAAACAGCATCGTAACGAGCATTGTCATACATCCAGTAATGATGACGGCCACCGTACGTGCAACGGGGAATTTCCCATCCGTCAAAGCTGCTTGAACGGAGAAATACCTAGACACCCCTACGGCAAGTATCCCCAGAGCCAAGAGAACCGTCGTGGCTCCAAGGGGTTTAGCGTATCTCTGAGTGCTAGCGCTAGTAGGCGAAAACGATGCGCTCTGCATTGCGATGGAGAACAGTTGGACGAGAGCGACGCCGGTAGAGGCGAGGACAAGAGAGGTTCTCACATACGCAAGGAATGTCCTCTCAGAGGCTAGGTGATCCCTTGCGACGGAGCCGTTGTTCTCCAGTGTCAGGCTGATATGCATCGTAGAGTATTACGTCTTCCTCCACTGCTTCCTAGGCATTTTATAGCGTTGCCTATTCCAAATAATGTACCATATCTGCCGTCGTGGGATAGCGAGTTCAAAGTCTACCCGCAATAGGTACCGCGATTGAGAAGGTGGCGTCACTGGCGTGGCGACAAGCCTTACGAATACCGCGCCGAGCGAAGAAAGCCTTACGCTTCGAAGTTATGTAGGAGACTTTGAGCTTGGTTATCCAGAAAGGAAACAAAAATATACTCACATAGGCCGATTGATAAACTTGAAGGCAGGTCTGCGGTTTATTGACGTTCATTACACGCAGTTCTGTCCGGACCGATTGGCCATGTGCCGTTGTTACCGGGTATAATTGAGTGACTAAAACCTTGGAATGGTTCGACTATAAGCTCCTAGTGAACCTTTCAATCAGCGCCATCGCTCGGCCGTAAGTTTCCTATGTATTCGCAAGGTCCTCAGTATATGGAATAGCTTCGATTGGCATATCAAGGCCGCCCTATCGTACCATCCTGTATTGATATGTTGTTGATATGATGAGCCAACTTCAAGTTGTAAACCTTACTCACGCAACATTGCAGAGCAGCATGGCACAGATCTTCCCAGTGAAACCCCAGATTTTCACATTTCATTAATGTGATTTGCGCATTGCACATCGATATTGAAGCCAATCTCGTTCATAAGTTAGAAATATACGAATTTTCCTTGCTCTTTTTTTCATACAGGCAGTGATACAGGTTAACTGAACGCGAAAGACTGATTGGCACAGGTAACAGAATTTGAACGGATAGAGTTACATGCTTTCAGCAGCAGAAGAGACTAGTAACTAGCCTAAGGCCCTTTGAGAAAAGAGAATCGGTGGTGACGACTTGGTGGCTGAACGCCGCGCGGGCCACTTAGCAGTGGCACAAGGTCGCGGTACCACGTGATCACAGGCGAACTTCGCCGCAACCCCGGCAACACCATTGGCCTCTTCTGAGTTCCTTTTCTGATGTATATCCACCGTACGGGATTGCCTATGTTACTGGATCTACGCGTCTTTACCGCCAGCTTCTTGGAAATTAAGCATCCTTAGAGATTCTATACGCAGTCTGGGGCCTGGGCAGCATCTGAAGACTGAATGCCATCCGAACTCCAGCCACTTTTGTTTCATTCACAATGAACATGGCTCATTTATCCTGTGCTGCTTTGTTCCTCGACTCCAGTGCCACTCACGGTCTATAGGCCACAGATTTGAAACTTGCTGCCTTTGGTCGTCTTGTCACTTTGACCAGTGGCATAAAAATAGTACTATAAAATGACCTTGCCCTTCTACAATTCTCCCTTCTCGAAAATCTTTGGGCAAATTCTGACCTTCCAAACTATGGCCTACCGTACCTTTCGAGCACCTCACTCACACCCGAGCGCTCCCTATCCTAACTACGACGACTATCGAAGCTTCCCCAGCTACACAGAAGGAATGGATCACGGTACTTGCAATGCTCGTTTCGGGACGAGAAAAGGGAATTGAACAATCGCCTGTAGGTTCGGCTGGAAACGAATACCCTTTGGGAGACCCGATTTATGAGCATAAACTTGGTCAGCCATACGCATTCGCCTTTGCGACACATATTTAATATTTTACAGTCAACGCTAATCCGTACCGTCCACTATATGAAACGCGAGTGATAAATCTGCACCAGGACATGCTCGATCTCCTAGAACACCACAAGTCGGAGGTCTTCGCTAGTATTGCAAGTCTCACGCATGCCGTGCATCGAGTGAGTTTGCGTCAGATATTTCCGACAGAGCATCTTTTCAATCCGAATGCAGCAAACTAATTATTATCGTTTCGCTGGTGAAGGAATTCCCTTTGAAATAATACCCTTTGCGAATGGCTCGATGCCTAATCAACTTCCTGTACGGAATTGAACTGATCTTGTTGCGACTAACCTTTGTTAACCATTCCATTTTCCCCAGCATCTGCTTCCCGCTCTGACTAGCGTACATGTTGTAAACGCTCTCACCCCGGAGCAGCTCGTTCGCTATTGTTCTGGTTACAGGATAGCTCACGACCCCAAGAACATAGAGCTGATGATCGTCGACTTGAAGGCATATATAGGCTGTGAGCCTTGAGGTTGAACGATGGACCTACAATCAACTTTATCGACACTCTTATCTGAATAATCTATCCCAAAGACTCGCTACTCCTTATGCTATCGTGATCCGCTGTATTTTACGTTCAACGCACAATGTACACTACCTACACACTTCCTTACGAGACGGACATACATGTATTAACATCTACTTCGCGACAAATCCCGGTAGCCACTTCTCCACGTAAACTAAGAATGAATCTTGCACTGCAACGACGGTATCGTCAGGTGCCGCAAGCGCGACCACCAAATCAGTACAATGGAACCCGTTCGAGAGACCGATAGGTTGGTCGTCGGTGCTCACGGCCGTACTATTCACAGCGGATACTGTACCCTCTCTCCACGGATCACCTGGTGGACATCAGCATAAGGATGCACAGTCGGTGAATATATGACACCCACGTTTGCCGTTCGCAAAGAATAGCCTCGTGTTCTTGACGCCCCACCCACCATACAAGGCATTGATGCGGTCGGCGTCGGGGAGCGGAGCCGTGGAGAACGCTTCGGGAAAAGTGGTCACGCATTCTTGCTAGACAAGGAGTCCGGGTTTCTGTCAGCCAGCCCCGGCATTATGAAACTAGCAGACCAAGAACTAACCAGATCATCTTGCCACTTGTTAAGTCTTGAAACGATACCTCCCTGTCCGATGGGCGGTCCGTCCTGCAAAGGTTCGTCGTTGCTGTATCATGAGGTTGTGTGATAAACTTACTAGAGACTCTTCAATTTCATTACATCTGCAAGCAGAAAGTTAGCATGAGGTATGATTCGATTATATACCGTCGTGAACATCACGCACTCCAACCAGAACCAAGAGCGGTATGTATCACCAACAGGGTAGTCGGCTCTAGCCTCGAGCTCTTGAGGAATGACTTGTTTGTCAGGCACAGCTGCAGGCATCGGTGGCCGGCGCAAGGAACTAGAGCACGGTCTACAAGACGATCTCAGACATCAGCTCGAGAAACGTACACTGTAAAGCCATCTTACCCATCATCATCAACACAATCTAAATAACAATCATCAGCAAATAGACTAGGGATCGATTAAATCCGTTACTCGCCTGTATCAGCTGCATAGTTTACGGAGAACCATCTAGCCCAAGCCGAAAGCGCGTTGTCCACTCCCCATCCATTCTCAGACGCCGACACTCCATTCTTCACCTCAAGCGCATCGCAGAATTGGTAGAAGGCTGCGCCAGGGCCCGTATTGGGCTGCAGATCCTGCCATGTCCACAGATCCCATCTCACTGAAGGCGCCGTCAGAGTTAAAAGCGGGATAGACACAAAGGAATACCCACGAGCTTGCGCCACGTCCAAGTTAGACGAAAACCCGAACATTCCTTGGATCTTTCGTTGAGACTGGGTATCATTGCTGGTGAAGACTCCGTCAACGTAGGCGATAACAGCTTCAACATCAGCGGAACAATTCTTCGGCATGTTCTCTCGAATGGGTTCGTAGTACTGCCAGAAATCTCTGCGAATAGTGTGTCAGCTCGTGGAAAATGGAAAGATAAAGGTCTGCGAACAGCTTGAACTTGAACGACTGCTGATGACGTATAGCCAATCCAGAAGATGTCGGGGATGTCCTATTTACGGACTCATTCAGTGCTGAAGGACGTCGAACCAGTGTAGAAACAGCTGACGCGGCCATTGTCCAGCTGACTAAACCACCTATACATGATATGTTAGGTCCGTTACCTTCAGATGGAACAACGGCTGACCTGGGTAACTTCCGCCAATCAGGATCCACGGCGCCTTATCTGGACCCACGGCCGTCGCCAGTTGTCTTGAGGAAGAACAACAGTTCTCGGGCAAAGTAAACATGGATCTTCGATAGGCTTGGGCCACCGTTTGATACTTGAGACTGTCCACATTCAAGTTCGGGTAGGGATTGCTCTCGCCGAAATAACGATGTTCGAGGACTATAGCTGCGCCTCCGAACTGTTGGGCGACGACACCATTGATTGTGCGATTTGTCACGTAGCCGTAGTAAGCTAATATGGGTATGAGATACATGACTTGTGGAAGCATGGATGCTTACCGCTGGCGTCGACTTCACCAGCGTTCATGAGAATTATCGGACCTCCTAGAATATAGATGTCAGCGGGAGAACCCACAAAACACGCCCCTCTACGCAAACCTGCTTCATAGAACTCAGCAGTGTGCCAATATCGCTGCTTGAACGTTCCCTTGGACGGATCATCGTGGTCAATGAGCTGGTCAAAGTAATATACCGTGTCGTACGGGGGCAAATCGCGCGTGCGCAA